GCTGGACCTACTCGTGCATGCGAACGTATGGCGTAGTCATTGCCACGTAGTATACTGTAAAATACACTTTATTCATGCGCAATTATTTTCGTTATATCGCGCCACCTCCGCCAAGTATACAGAATATAAATAAAATCTTATTCAGTTATGTGTGTCTAGCAAAATTTTATTTAATTCGTTTATGTAGGCCTATTTTTGATTGAATTTGAATATCTATGAATAATTTGGGCAATTACACCTGATTTTGATTGAGAGGTTGTCGCCCATTGTAAATAATCCGGCATTCACTGGGCGACAAGATTCTGAAACTAGGCGACAAACTTGTCGCCTAGTTACAGTATTAGAGGAGGCTCTGGATAGCCCTCGATTAGTTTTTTTTTACCAATTTCGACAAAATAAACAAACAAACAACTCCAGTAAAATAAGATTTTGTTTTATTGCTTGATATCTCACCTTAACGCTTCATCAGGAGCTTATCATTAACATATTGAGGCACAAGAAAAATTCTTTACAATTTAACATAATGCACGTGTTAAGAAAGGCATGGTCTGTCATTTAGAATATACTATATTATAATAATTAATACTTTGGTATCCAGGTATGCCATGTGTTTGAAATAACTCGTTTTAATATAGAAAATTTCAATATTTTTTTCGTTTATTCACATGTATGTGGGGTTTTCATATAAAAAGCTGTTAAGAAAGTCGTTAAGTTGCTTTCGGTCTAGCTATCTATTATTCTGAGTCACTCACCTTAGGTATCTTTGTCTTCTCGTGCGAAAGGTTTCTGAAAAGTTGTACGTAACATCTGTGAAGGTAGTCAGTGATATTTTACTCCAGGAGGTCGGGTGATGTTTAAAGACTACAATCTCTCTTATGGTGAATAGGAATGACCAACGGTCACTTGGATAGCGCAAGTTACATGGGAAAGTCTGGCATATATAATGATTTTAGTTTTTTCTTCAGACTAGAACAGATTTTTTGAGAACTTCACAAGCTCTAGATTTAATAGTATCTAACTTTCCGGTAAAGACTATTGTCTTTAGTGCTAAGTCAATACACACTCTTTTGTTTTTGTGTATTGAATAAATATTGTTTTCGCTATGAGCATCACATTGTGTTCAGTCTCTTTCACCAACTCAGTCAGTTTCAGAGAATTCGGATTTATTTCGTAATATATTTCCAGTGAGAACCTCCTATTATCTTATGGACCATATCTTGTTATTGAAGAGGGTAATCAGCGTTTCCTGAGAATAGCACAATGTTTTATTGTTATATTACTTTGTAATGCATTACTGAAGTTAGAAGCAGTATTATTAAACAAAATGGCGGCCCGGCATGGCCAGGTGGATAAGGCGCTCGACTCACAATCTGAGGGTCGCGGGTTCGAATCCGCATCCCACCAAACATGCTCGCCCTTTCAGCCGTGGGGGCGTTATAATGTGACGGTCAATCCCACTATTCGTTGGTAAAAGAGTAGCCCAAGAGTTGGCGGTGGATGGTGATGACTAGCTGCCGTCCCTCGAGTCTTACACTGCTAAATTAGGGACGGCTAGCGCAGATAGCCCTCGTGTAGCTTTGCGCGAAATTCCAAAACAAACAAACAAACAATTAAACAAAAGTATATACAATCGTAAGATTTAAGATATGAAAGCATAAATTATGTTATGAAGATGCTAAACGAAACTCAACTAACTGTATGGTTCAAAATATCAAAACTGACTGATTAAAAAGTGTCCCATACTTTTTTGTTTAAAATAACATTTACGTTAGATTAAACGGATGATTTTTAGTCAAATCTGAAGAGTTTCTATAGGAAATATAGCAACAGTGTTTTTTTGCAAGAATATTCATGTTTTTTTTAGAATATACAGCATTTATTGGAGAACTAGAATCAACTGTATAACCACAACAATTTGTTTTCGTTTTAACTAATAATATATTTGGCATATGGAATTCATACTAAGATTCACTAATAAGCTTCCACGAATTTCTTGAAGTTCACCCCTGCATAAAATTTACTTTAACATATTCAACACTCGATAAACTATTACCGTTCTTAGCCACCATTGTTTAGTCTGTAGATGGTCGTATAATAATAAAAGCATGTATCAACTTAGAAACTGTATCTGAACTACATTTAACACGTACTCCAACTATGTAACGAAGCATTATTTATGGTTTCCTATACCGTATAGAAAAATTATGTAATAATAAGGACAGAATTGTTTGTTTTGAATTTCACGCAAAGCTACACGAGGGCTATCTGCGTTAGCCGTCCCTAATTTAGCAGTGTAAGACTAGAGGGAAGGCAGCTAGTCATCACCACCCACCGCCAACTCTTGGGCTACTCTTTTACCAACGAATAGTGGGAATTGACCGTCACATTATAACGCCCCCAGGCTGAAAGGGCGAGCATGTTTGGTATGACGAGGATTCGAACTCGCGACCCGCAGATTGCGAGTCGAGCGTCCTAACCACCTGGCCATGCCGGGCTTAAAAGACAGAATCACTGTAAAAAAAGATGGAAATTAATAAATCTTTTACGAAAAATCAAACATCCACTCAAGTATATCCAAAACATAAAAGGATAGTTTCATTCGAGAAAGAAGGAAAAGAACAACACTTCATGTTATAGAGAAGGGCAAATTCAAAAAGAAATTTCGTGTGTTGTGTCAAACTTACACGTTTTCTATAGAAAGAGATACGAATATCTGAGTTACGTAATAAATTAGTTATTAAATCTGATAAACTTTTAAAATCCATTTTAATAAAACAGCATACCGAAAATAAATTAAATAAAAAGAAAACAAACATAGAGCAACTGGGTGCGGTACAGAAAACAAATGTCAAATTAAAACCTTAATATATGAAGTTATATCTAAAGAATGCCAAGAAACATACATATACAAAGTGTCTTCATCACTGCAAGACAGAATTCTGGAATATATCAAATACATTCAAAACCTAAACGAAGGAAACGCGGTATATTACAATATATGCAAGAAAGCATGGAGTACCAAAAAACGGAAAACCCATAACACAGGCCAGCGAATTTAAACTTCATAAAAGTTGTTTTGGTTTCAATAACGGATTTTCTATAATTCAGCTACGCAGATTTCGAAAATAATATTTATTTTTTTCTATCACGTAAGGATATTTTACAAATCGGGAAGAAAAAAAAACAGTCTCTTTCTTAGATCAAATTATTATTTCGTTTACCACAAT